TCCCCCTTTCTTTTTCCTTCCCTCCGTTTGGTGTTAGTATTTGTATTCATTCAATTTGCATGGAAGAACAGAAATACAATAGTTAAAGAACGTATTCCACTAAAAAAGCAGTAATAGGAATCCAGGAGCTAATAAATGAGCATCAGATAAGGATATATATATAATACCAAAGTGCTGGAATAAAAAAATAAAAAAATAAAATAAATAAAATAAACTAAAATAAAATAAAATGTGTGGCAAGGTTATCGACCCAGGAAGCCAGAAATCTCTGGGTAAAGATAAACACTGCCTAATAATTTACTTCCATACACAGTATAGGCTTGAAAGATAAACTGGCATAATTCCCTCAGGATATGTAAACTGCCATCATGCACATTATATAAAATGATAAGTAATATTAAGCAGATACCAGTATATAGAACTGGCTGCTAAAAAGCAATGTAAAAAAGAACTATATCGCCAGAGAGTAACTATAATTAACAAAGTCAATTTTATTGAAAAATATAAAAATATACTAAAAATCTGTTCACATTTGAAGCAATAGGTGGTAAGAGGTAAATATTGCACAAAGACCTTAGATGCCGGCACGGATGGATCTGGATGAAAATTCCTGATACAGTATCTGAATGCTGGTAGCCGGTGAGGCCGGTGTGCGTGTCACAGTGCGTTCCACCTTGAGCCTCACTTCGGGGGGAATTGCACTGCTCGTCAGATCGTGCTGTTGAGATGGCTGCACTACAAGCTGATCGCTGGACTGTTGTGGTAGGACCTCTTCCCTCTGTGTGAACGTTCTTGATCTTGTCTGACGCGTTTCGTAGTGGATAGCCCTACTTCCTCAGAGACATCTAAATTCAACTCCCTATGGGAGTGCTTATAAACCTCTCCAGTGATAATTGATTAATTGATAAATACATTGCAATACAGTTCCTTTTTTCCACTATAAGGGTTCACATTCCTAGGGAACGAAAGCATTCGTATAAAATATCTGTAACAGTTAAATAATATGTATACAAATGTTACTCTGTTCTGTTAATATGTTAGGGATACAATGTTTAGATTATTTCGAGCGATGTGAATATTAGAAATAACAACAGCTCTATCAAAAGTAAATTAAAAAGTAATGGATTAATGAAGCCTGATTAGGATTATATATTTTGGTGCTGTAATTAGTCATGCAATAAGTCCAAACAAAACCCACGCCACTCACAGATATTATCATTAATCAATATCAATTTTATGTAAAGTTTATTGTATTAAAAGTTCAGAATTACATTTGACGAATATGAATCTTATTCACATGTGTATTCTTATTTCTATTTTTATGTGACATACATAACCCAGTTCGAATCAATGTAATAGACTTAGAAAGTTACCAAATGTATTGCAATGTATTTATCAATTAATCAATTATCACTGGAGAGGTTTATAAGCACTCCCATAGGGAGTTGAATTTAG